CCCAGGAGAACTTCTAATTAAATCAGTAATTAGAAATGATGGAATAGAGTAAGAGGTAATTCATTACCTTTAGATGAGCTGCTGGGTGGTCTCTAGATGGCAGCATGGTGGCTCTGTGGGACAAGTGCAGCTGAGGAGGTGATCCCAGGGCCTGAGAGATGAGCATTTGCTCCTCTGGCCCTAGGTGGGCCTTTCTTCCACTCCACAAAAGCCATAGGACAAAAAACTAGTTGGGGACTCTGGTGACCTAAGACTCACCTAATCCAGAATTATTTTCTAACAAAACATTCCTGGTTCTGAACGTGAGAATAATTCAGTACAATAATTCACATTGCATCTAAGTGTGTTTTCTTTGTTTATGTTGTTTTTTTTTTTTTTTTTTTTTAAATCAGTGGGGGTTCAACTACTGAGCCACATTCCCAGCTCTTTATTTTCCATTTTGAGACAGGGTCTCGCTAAGTTGCTTAGGGCCTTGCTAAGTTGCTGAAGATGGCCTTGAACTCAGGATCCTCCTGCCTCAGCTTCCTGAGCCGCTGGGATTACAGGCATGTGCCATCATGCCTGGCTGAGCTTATGTTTTCACAAATGAGTTTTCTGTACATAGTGAATATCTAATTATATATTTTGAAGTAGCTAGATTTACCCACAGGTGAACATTTTAATTTTTAAAAAGTTGCTCATGGGAAGAAGAAGAAGAAAAAAAGAATTATCAAAGGATCACACCTCCACAAAATGGCTGCCTCTGAAGCAAGGGCTTCTGGGAAGTCCTCTTTGTCCACTGGGGGGTGGGGGAGCACTAATGCTTACATTGCAGTTATCCACCCTCCCTTACAGGAACTTCTCCACAGAGATCTCCAGTGGCTTGGAGATGGCAGACGTGCTAGGACAGGCTGGGCCTGCGCCTCCAGAGATGGCGATTTCTCAGAGAGAGAAGAGACAGACAGGCAGGAAGAATCAGATTCCAGGTTTCCCAGAACAGCCAAGAACACAAGTGGCAGAGGCCTAGGGGTAAAGAGAGTGGGGTCTCCATGGCACAAGGCCAGGAAGCAAGGAGCATCCCTCTCGGCAGCCCTTACCAACAGCTGCTGTCAATCACCCTGGAGTCCTAGCAGTTTTGCTGTGGGTCTGGGGCCTCATCTGACACTGCTGAGAATCCCTGGCACACTGTCTGGCACAGAAACCTGACCCACGGAGCTCCCGTCAGCCACTGGCGTCCTTGATTCTGCAGATGCAGGAAATTCTCAGGGCAGCATTCAACCAGCTCTGACTCTTCTCCCCCTGCTCCAGGAACCAACCCCTGACTCAGACATGAAGTCCAAGGAATGAAGTCAGAAAGAGAAAGACAGAGAGGACAGAAAGTGCCAAGATGGAGCTGGGGATTTCTTTGTGGATTCCAGACCACCTGGAACCAAACATCATATTCCTCAATCCTTGGAAATTTGGATTTGTTCATTTTTTTTTTTTTACCAGTTTCCCACTGTAGAGGCTGTTTGCCTCTTTTCAGGACACTAGCATGAAGAACAGAACCCACAGGTTCAGACAGCCTCATTTGGTTGGGTAAATGCTTCGACTGTCAGCAAACACTTATAAAGCGCCTATTAAGAAAACATCACACAGTCGTTAAGAGCATTAAGTTTAAAAATCTAACAGACCTGAATACCAGTTTCAGGTTGCTGCTCACTACCTGTGCAACCTTGAGCAAATTACTTAACTTCTCTGAACCTCACATTCCACATCTATAAACTGCAGATAGCAATATCGGTCTCCTGGGATTGTAGTGAAGATTAAACAAGAAACAAGATAGTCTGTGAATAAAGCACTTAGCCCAGCACAGAAGCCTCAATAAAAAAAAAAGGGATATTATCGCTGCACAAGTTGTGAGAATCCAGAGCTGCACTCACCCCTATTAAAAGTATACAAAGGGGGCATTTTGCCACAGAACACCGTCCTGGGCAGCAAGCACTCTAGCAATCTGGGACTGGAACTCTGGTAACCTGGGACATCATTTGAAGGAAGCTGGCCTAGGGTCTAAGATGTCAGGGATTTTTCCTATCCTGGTGCTCCAGATGTTTGGCTGTGAATATTTCCTGCAGGCCAGCCTGGGAGCAAGTGATAACTCAGACTTTGTCTAGGGAAAAAAAAAAGCTCTAATCCACCTTCCCTTTAAACTCTTCTGCTGCTTATCTTAGCAGTTTTAAAGGGATTAATGATGAATTGTCCTGCTGCAGCAAAGCTGGACAGGAAGAATATAAGGAGAGAGAGGATGCCCAGGCAGAAAGACGCTGCAGCTCCAGAATCTTCTCATCTCTGTCTTCATCAGCCTTGGAATATGCTCCCAGGTTCAATGAGGAGGGCATTGGCTCCAGGGTGCATGGTGAATGCAACACACACACACACACACACACACACACACTTCCAGTCTCAGACTGGAGTCCCCTGGGTCAGCATGGCCTCATTCTTGCTGTACTGAGTAAGGGTCCTCTAACAACCTTCAGTTTTGAGGTGCACACACCTTAGCTCAGCCCCAAGTCTACACGCATTACAGAGGGAAGAAGCAAGGGGCCCAGGGTCCTTCAGAAAAGTAGGAGACCCAGTCTTCCCTCTCCTTTCCAGGAAAGGCCAGCCTCGCCTCTCCTTAACACTTCTCTTGCACCTGCCAACTCTTTTATGGATAGGGCAAGTTGGAAGAGGGATGGCAAGACTTGCTCAAGAAGGTGGGGCCACTGAAGTCCACCCAGCAAGTGCCACAGCTTGGGACCAGGCCACAGTCTTGAGCAATCCCAAGGAGGCAAAGTGTGTCCTGGAGTCTCACCTTGGAGCAATTGCATGTGGTCATAGGCACCCAGAAGATTCAATACAGCTGTACTTCCACACTCCAACACTTACTCAGCCTTCTATATACCCCTATTTTGCACTCAAGGGCAGAGATAGAAAGAAAGAGTCTCCTATGATTAAGATCCATAAGGTAAGAAGCGGAGAACTAACATCTAACAGCATCCACTATCTGTCCAGCACTGGGCTCAAAATAAGCCTGCAGCAAAGGTATCATAGTGGGCTGGGGATATAGCTCAGTTGGTAGAGTGCCTGCCTTGCATGCACAAAGCCCTGGGTTCAATTCCCAGCACCACCAAAGAAAAAGAAAAGCTACCATAGGTACCCCGCTTTACAAGTGAGGAAATAGAGGCTTCAGAAGTAAAGTGACTTGCCCAAGGTCACTCTGCTAGCACATGGCAGAGCACTGGGCCCAGCTGTGACCACCACAACAAGGCCTCCCCCTAGATTTCCCCTCAAAATCACTTCCCCACCTGGTCCTGTTCACCCTCTCCCATGGGTGGGAGTTCTGGGGTTCTTGCCTAGCAGCCAGGCAGCCTGAGCTCTACTCAGTTGAGGACTTGCCTATCTTTAGCCAGTGGCTCCAAAACACTTGGGGCTCAGGCCATTCCTGCTCACGAGTCCTGTTAAAGAACTTCATTGAACTCACAGCAGCTGACACACGACTCTGTATGACTCAGACCAAACAAACTCCCTCCAATCAGAGCTGGTAGGCACGATTTGCCTCCTGCATTGAGTCACCTCCAGGCTGAGCTGCAGGGATTTGCTGAAACTCAACCACCTACTTAGCCACAGCTGTTCCATGAGAGAAAAAGCCCGGCAGAGGAGATAGAGCCTCTGATGGCCCCATGGATGGGCCATGGCCAAGGACAACCAGGTGTGACCGCAAAGCCCTTCCAGCCCAGGAGATAGACCCACCATACGCTGCCATGAGATAATGTAAGCTCAGTGTGAGGCATAAGAGGCCCCACTGTTCATCTCCTTTTTCTCCAGACAGTGATCGGCACACCCAGCAAAGCCTAACAGACACTAAAGTCTTGATTGAATTTTTTTTTTTTTTTTTTTTTTTTGAGCCACTACAAGATTTTCTCAGTTCCTGGAAGTTCCTGTTAAGAAGGGCAGTGCCTTGAAAAGAATCTTCCACCTCTACCCCATTCCTGCATCTCCCCAACTCAACCCCACCTGCCTCTTGATCACAGCTGAACTGCCCCAAATGTAGCTTTGATTAGAAATTTCCTAAAACAAAAAGCCTATTAATATATTTTTCAAAAATAAGAAAGATGAATAGGAGCAAATTCAAAAAGAAGTACACACTTGTCAGCGACAGGGTGAGTGGCTTCAGGACTTCTGAACTTGGAGCCCTGACAAGGTTGTTTGGGCTTTAAAAGGAAACATCCGGCTTCCTTCCAAGGCGGCCTCGCCCCTGGGGGAGCGGCCCTCCCCGGACTATCGCAAACATCCTTTCGGAGCACCGCGCACAGGTATAAATATGACAGAGCCATTCTCCGAGTAAGGCGCCCCCTCCAGATCAGCCGGCACCCGGTGTATGTCCCCTATTTCTGCCTTTCTGCTCCAAGATGCGCTTTGCTAGAGGGAGGAAGGGCTCCCCTCTAGTTCCGAATGGTGAGGACCGGCCCGAGGACTGGGAATTAAATATTCACATCGGGCGTGAGCGCTCTGCTTCTCTTGCCAATGTTACTGTCAAGGTCACGGGCCCGAGGCCCAGTGGCTGGGGCCGGGGTCCCCAGGAGTGCAGGAGCCTTCCGGCGGAATTGCGCCCTGGGCGCGCAGCTCTAGGCGGCGGGACCCGCCAGGCTGGCCTCCTCCCTGGTCCTCAGCGGGCGCTTGCCTCTGCAGCTCTGCCAAATTACCTCCGGAGTTCTGGGGCCCTTCTGAGCCCCAGAAGCTGAAGCCCTATGTCCAACCCCTACGTGCGCTGCTGGGCACCCTTGATGCGCCGGACTATCGGGGACCGGGGGCTCCGTCGCCAGGCAACCACGGCTGAAGCAGCGGGAGGAGCCCGGCGCCAGCACAGGGTCTGGCGGACACCGGGGTACAGCCGCCTCGCACCTCCGTCCGTAGGCCTTCCTGCCCGGGGCGGGGCCAGGAGAGGCAAAGTTGCGGCGCCTGGTCGGATGGAGCCAGGCGGGGCGCGGCCGGCGACTCACCTGTCCCGCGTGGGCCGTCGCACTGACTCGGCCCTGCACTCCGGCCGAGTAGCTGCGGTCCCTGTCCGATCAAGGGTGCAAAGTCTCTCCTACGGGCCGCCCAAGTCTGATGGCGACAGGCCGGGTCCGGGGCTGGAGGGGCCCCAGGGCGGCGCGCCGGCGCACGCGACTCCGCTAGCTCCTGGCTCCCTCCTTCGCAGCCAGTACCGATCCCTCTCCCGCCCTCCGCGCGCTCGGGGATGTGAGGAGCGGCCTGGGGACCCGGGTCCCCCGGCGGAGGGGGCGCGAGGGGCTGCGAAGGCCGGGATTGAGTGCCGCCCTCCCCGCGCCCTGGCCGCGCCGGCTCTGCGGAGCGGAACGGAGCTGGGCGGAGCGCAGCGTGCACTGTTCCCTCGCTTTCCGAAAGGCCACCCTGGCGGCGGGGCGCCGTGACGCAGGCTTGACTCACGCGCGGGCCCGCGTCAATGCGAGGCTCTCGGGCCGCGAGCGAGGCTCTGATGGCCGACGCAGGCGGAGCGGGTAGGCGGAGAGCGGGAAAGGGGGTTGCGGAGCCGCAGCCTCGTGAAGCCCCTGGTTGGGGGACCCAGACCCTGGTGCTCTCACCAGGGCTTCAAAATGATCCAAGTCCTCCAGAACCCCGGGCCTCACTTTCTTTTCAGACTCGCCTTTTTGGATCTTCCTTCATAAACTCAATCCCACCCAAAGTGATTGTTGCTTCTTAGATGGTACGTGTTCCCTTCGCTTAGAATGCCTTTTCCCCCCCAATGACCTTCCTTGAAACCACCGTGCAAGGCCGTTCCTTGCACTCTTTCAACACAACGCTCATCTGTTGAGCTCCTACTGTATAGCAGGGACTACAGAAACTGAGGATCTAAGTAGAGGGAAAGGAAGCTCTAGAGGAGTGTTTACCCAGGTAGTAACCACACAAACCAGAAGAAAGGTTGAAGAGCCCTACCAGATGAGTAAATGTGGGGGTGGGGAGGGAGACAGGGCAGGAGAAGGACATTCTGGCTGGGCTCTGAGCAGGCGTTGGAAGATGCTACCTTCAAATGATGTTTAGTCAGAATAGAGAAAGGTCAGCTCTTGTGGAGGGAACAGCACACCAAGGGTATAAATGCAAAAGCAGAGAAGATGTGCTGAGGGGCGGGGTTGCCTGAGCTGGAGCAGGACTGGGGTGATTAGAGGTGAAGTTAGGGAGACAGGAGACATCCTACCAGCACTAAAGCGTGGAATGAATTATCTCTGCTCTAAGGGACACTAAGAGGAACGGTGACATCAGAGGCAAGTGTTTGGGCAGGTTGAGAGGTGAAGTCTCAGTTGTTGTAGTGAAAGGCAATGAGGGCCATTGTCCAAACTTGGAAGTGTCTGAAATTCTACTCTTGCAATCTAACAAGTTAGCCTGCCACAGTTTTCAGGGATGCCGGCAAAAGACTTGAGACTCCAAGACCAGAGACAAAGGATTTTTTATTACTCATAGCACAGCTGTTAGCATGAGGCTCACATTCAAATCAGTTTCTCTTAATCTCCAAGTCCTATAGAAGAGATATGGGGCTAGATTTGGGTAATACTAAACACACTGAAGAATCTAGAACTTAGGAAATTCCAATCTTTTGTAATGGGTTGCAAGCAAACCCATCCATCATTTGCCCCAGACAGTATCTTTATTATATTGAAGAGCAAACAATTGCCCTCCACTAGAGGGAGACACTATCTCTATCTTCCAAAGTAGTTTGCTATGCAAACAATCTCTAAATCATAGTCTGGGACAAAAAACTATCAGTGCCTCTGCCCACAGACTTGTGGAAGTGTAGGATTCCTGTTGTGAATTATTTCCCAATAGACAGTTATTCTTTCATTCAACAGAGTTTCACTGAGTGTTTTACTTAGCTGTTCTATGCCCAGAAGATACAGTAGAAAAGAGATCGTGATCCCTTCCCTTATGAGATTTACATTCTGGTGAACCCAGCCAGGGAAGCAGAGCAGGGTGGAGACACATGGCAGGAAGTAACAAATGATGCAGGAGATATGATAGAGGTGAACAAATACAGTGTGACAGCTCTGGTGGTGTGGGAGGCAAGAGGGAAGAAAGCATCAGAGATCAGTTCCTTCCAGGCAAGGGAATTTGAAGGTGGTGTGGCATTGGGAAAGGGGCAGGACTTTGGAGTATGACAGACCTGAGTTTTCATCCTGACTGCCATTCCCTAGAGATCTGGAGCAAGTTCTCTAAGGCTCAGCATCCACATCTGTATCTGAATAATACATATTCCATAAGGTTGTTATGATGATCAGAAAGATGATCATTTTAAAATATCTGGTATCACATCTGCTATAAAAATGCTTAATAAATGACTATTATTAGTAATATTATTAGATAATTGTATTGCCATTAACCAAGACAGGGAATCTAGAAAGGGTAGCAGGTTGGGAAAAGGAAGTAGAAGACCATGGATTTGGGATACGCTGAGACAACATGTCTGTGGGATACCAAGGTGATAAGCAGAAGATTGCCTTTGCATCTCTGCCCTTGTGATCTCATCTGCCCTTGAACTCAATTTCTCTTGAACCTGCTTTCTCTATGCAAAGTTCTCTGGAGAAAAACACACTGGATCTGTCTCCTTCTGTCCTGTGGTCACCAAACTCGAGTGGGCTTCTCATACTTCCCAATGACCCCCCTGTGAACCTCTGGTCAACTTACTTCCCCACTCCAACCTCCTTGACTTCCTCCCTTGCTCTTCCTCCAGCCCCTACTCTGTCAGGAACTGCCTCACCTCCATCAGAGCTCCCTGAGTTTGTTAGACAATGAAGCCTTCCCCTACCTGCATCAGTGCTAACACCTGCTCTCTCCTCCTTCCTCCTGATAAAGGAAGATTCCTTTCCACTGGATCCTTCTCAGGAGATTTTCAGCATGTTCAACTATCTTCCTTTAAATATTATTAGGCTCTCATCCCCCACCTTCTCATTTTTTTCTACATCCTCTCCTCCATCTCCACACCCTCCCCTCATTCCTTACCCAACTCTTCTGCCAGGATGGCACTAAGGTCACTGATGACCTCCTCTGTGTCACTGAATCCATCGGGCATTTTCCAGTCCTCATCTTACTGACGGCTCATGATGTTTGTCTCAGGCATCCTCTCCTTCCAACACTCTCTCTCGGTCCCTTTCTAGCAGCCTCTTTGCCTTCCAGTTTTCCTCCTGCCTTTCAGCTACTCCTCACAGTCCTCTTGATGATCCTTACAGACTGGACTTCTCCCAGCCCTGTCCCTTTCTCATGCTGTATTCTTCTAAGCCAACTCCTGTAGGGGTGACTCCCACATTTGTATCTCTACTTCCAGTCTTCTGAGCTCCATATACTCAACCTCCTGCTCCACCTTTCCACTTGGCTATCAGAATTACCTCCAACCCGCATTTGAAAAATCAGCTCCACATTCAGAGATCTGTCCCGCAAGATGGTTAACATTTTGCTTCTTATTCCCCTTCCAGTGCTCCCTTGCTCTGTGAATCAGTGAACCAGCCAGAAACTTCATAGTCATTGTCTGGAGACCCCCTCCCTCTTCCTCACCCCTTCCTGAAATCTAGTACCAAATCATGTAGGTTTGACCTACTAACCTCCAGATCCCAGCTACTTCTAGTTAATTCTGCTGCCACAACCCTAGTCCAAACTCTTTATCTTCACTCTAGGATCTCAATCACCTTCTAACTCCAGTTCCAGTCTCAACTCCTTTTCTCCACACAGCAGCAGGACTGCCCTCTCAGAAGAAATGTGGTCATTGCACCTTGCTCAAGCTTGCAGAGTCTGACCCCACATCTTTAACATGTGCCTCACGGCCCTTGCTTGTCTTCAGCCACATTTGTCACTCTTTTCCCCCATGACTTTCCTGCAGCCCACTGACTCCATCAACCTTCTCTCAGTTTTTCCCACTCTCCCACGCCTTCCTGGCTCAGGCTTCAGCCCATATGTCCTCCCTGCCAGGAATCTGTTAAGGCCCCTCCTCTTCCCTCTCTTCATGTCCACTCACCTAACAGGGTTTGCCTGGAACCCTAATCCTCTGTGCCTCTCCTGACTGTGGAGGAGGAGTAGGGCAGGTGGACGTTTATTCCCCTTTGTATCCCTTGTCACAGTATAATTACATGCTTAATAGTGTGACTGGCTGCTTAGTGATGGTTCCATTGGTTGAAATGGAAGACCCACAAGGGCAGAGACCATGTCTTTCTTAAACACATGGTGGACCCTCATAAATACTGTTTAGTCAGCTTTTTCACCGCTGTGACTAAAGGATCTGACCAGAACAACTTTAAAAGTCCATTTGAGGGCTCACCCTTTTAGAGGTCTTAGTCCATAGAAGGCCAGCTCCATTCCTCAGGGCTTGAAGTGAGGGTGAACATCATGGTGGGAGAGGGTGGCAGAGGGAAGCAGCTTACAGCCCAGTGATCAGGAAACACAGAGTTCTCCACTTGCCAGATACAAATATATATCCCAAAGGCACACCCCAATTTCCACCTCCCTCAGTCACACCCTATCACTTCAGTTACCACTCAGTTAATCCCCATCAGGTGATTAATTCACTGATTGAGTTAAGACTCTCACAACCCAGTCATTTCTCCTCTGAACCTTCTTGCATTGTCTCACGTGTGAGCTTTTGGGGGACTCCTCACATCCAAACCATAACACTTACTGAAAGAATAGATAAAAGTTGGTTAGAAATATAGATATGAAGCCCAGGAAAGAGGGTTGGAGATGCACACTTGGAAGTCATAACCATAAAGAGAGTAGGGAAAGGTGAGACCATCCAGAGAGAGTGTGCAGAAAGCAGTCAGGGGGGCATTGATGGGAAGTGTCTACTTTAAGTGGCAGGAGGAGTGAGAAGGGTCAGGAAAGAAGATAGAGAGGAGTCAAGAAGGGAGAGGACAATGTACATCACAGAAGAGAGAAATTCAAGGAGGAACAGCCAGCCTGTGGTGTCAAAATCTGCAGTGATATCCAAGAGGATGAGTCCTGGAAGGTGTCCCTGAAGGTGGCATTCACGAGGCAGTGGGCATGAAGCTGTACTGAAGGCCCTAAGATAACACGGAAACAGGAAATAAGGCTTCCTCCACAAAGTCCTTCTGAACACCAGCTCTTGATGACCATCTCTCCCCTGAGCATCTAGAAAACTGATTCTTCCTTTTATGGGGCATATAGAAATAGATTAAAATTATACAATATTATATGAGGCTTGTACTTATTAGCATCCCCATAGTACTCATAAGGAAACTAAGGCTTAGGGTGGTTAACTAATCTGTCCAAGTCATGCAGTAGGCTCCATCCTGGGTTTAAAGTCTTTGCTCTCAGTCTTGACATTTAGAGCCTTATAATGTAGGGCCCCCTCATATGTCTAGTTTGTCTCTCGAGTTTGACTGATTATAGTG